CCCAAAATAAATGAAATGAGCTGCTATTTATAGTAGTCTTTAATGTGGCACTGTTCCGTTACTGTTCACCGGTCTTGTCGCACAGTGATCCTGGGGAGCAATCCGGCGCCCCTCTGACATGCATTTAATACGATTTGAGGTTTCTTCAATCATTATCTGTCAGGCATTAAATGCCAGCATGGGGGGTATTTAATGTTGGCTGACTCTATTGAATTTAGGCTGACTGGTAGGGTGCTAGGCCATGATCACCTGTCCTATCGCCCAATGATGACCTCCCGGACGGGAATATCTTAATGCTAATCGAGGCCTGCACCTTTCATCTGACCGGCCCTCTCAAATTTTCAGACCGACGCTTCATTCGTAGGTGTTCATGAGACTACGAATAATCTCCTTCCTGCCCGGCACCCATCCAGGTCGGCAACTCTACGGTCTGAATCGGGCGCCGGACTGAGAATCCGTTCCCAGGGCGGTTTCCCGCCCCTCTAATCCGCGATCCAGCTCGGCACTTTCTCATCAGGCCGGGTTCTTGTTTCGATCCGGAGGGGCTGAGTACCCGGTCCAGTCCAGATCAAATCGGTTGTCAACAAAAATCTAAGTAGATAGTAAAATAGATCTCATTTAAAAGATTCATTATTATCTTATCTCAAAATAAGTCGAATGTAAACATAAGAAATCTTGAATGATTTTATTTTTTTTTATTTAGAACCATATCTCACATTTAACACAAATAATTATGATATCTATATAAGTATTCGATTACACAAATAATTTACCACATCTTTTAGTATTTTTTATTAATTTCTAATCTATAGAACCCGACTAATTTCATTATTTTCACAATATCATTATGTCGCTCGTGTAATTTTTTTTTTTTAATTCGGTTTCCCAAAAAAAAAGTTATACTTGACATTAAGAGTTGTTCGTATATTCGAAAGAAGATTTAAAGCCAAGTAGTTGGAAATAAATTACAATAATGAAAAGATAAATAGATTCTTTTGTTATTTTTTATTTATTATTATCGAATCTATATTTTTAAAATTATTTCAAATAATGAGCATAGAATA